CAGTTCTTCACACCCAAGGCACCTTGGTATATACATAGAACAACGTCATTCTGTCACCGGTTGTGCAACATGCACACCTCTTACAGGCTACAAATAAACAACAACTGAACTTTCAAACCCTAGCTCATGTGTATATGTATGTGTTAGCATGAACGTTGCTGGATGTGAGTACGTATGCAGTGTTTACCAGGATACAGTCATTTACTGTCCCCCTTCCCACACCGGGATGCGAATAGAAGAGGCTGAATAAAACCGAAAACTAAAGTAAACATACGGGGATGGAATTACTCCGTTTGTAGCACTTTGGTAGTCTGACGGAAAGTGGTGGCACAATAACTCGGACGTCCGAGATGAAATAAACACATAAGTGAAGGGTGCTCGACAGGGATTGCGCAATTCACCGGTGAACGCGCATCAAACAAGAGGGCAATGAGCTTGCGTTTAGACAGGCACATACGTGGGTATTAGGACAGAGGCTTGAACAAACTCAAATGACGAGAGGTTTTAGTACACGAATGGAGTTTAAGTTCGAACCTCGTTATTTTATTCATTGGGGATACAGAATACCGTGAATGAGACCGCGCAAATCGGTGGTCATGCAACTTTCCATTGGAACATAACGATATCGATTTACCGCAAGATCTAAATGACTTTGCTGAACAGCGGAGAAAACAGTCCGCCTTCCTCGCAGTGACAGGAGTTGTAACTACCTGATGGTAGTTGGTATTGTAGTAAGGATTCACCCGATCTACATATCAACTAACGCGAGATAGATTAGTAGTAATGATTATGTACTGAGTGATATGATGCGCAGTGGAACTAAATATGATGAAATGTCTTTGAAAATGCACTCTCGTTTGTGGTTATTCATCACACCGTGAATCAGTAAACGAACAAGCATTACTTATTTGATTCCGCACTGCGCGATCAGGTTAAGCATTAGGTTTGTTTTCAGAATTTCGTCTGTTGACTGAGTGCAGGCTTGGGGTGATAACAGAGAAATAAAAGAGAAATAATGAAGAAATTAGAACAAGATGAGATAATCGTGTTAGTTGGTCTGTGTAGTGTTTATGTGTATGAAAGGTGGTTGGGAGTGATTTCGAATGAATAAATCGGTGAATGAATGAAATTTTATGGGTACAGATTACTTGACCAGATAATAAGTGTTCTTAAACCCTTCCACGGGGTTTACAATGATGTGTGTTTGGAGATGGATTGCCATTGTCCCGGCTGGTGACAACACTCGGGATTTGATATAGGTGTAATCACCGGCTTGTGAACAAGCATATTGCCAACCCAACAATAAGAACAACGGAGAACGAAGTGGTTCGGATACAAAAAATAGCGAAATGGATATCAATCAATTACACTGGACAACAAAAATAACTGTTATGTTTGTTTCACCATACACTTTTTGATATTTTTTATGTGTTAGTTTGTCGCCATTTTTTCGGGGTGCGGGATTTCAAAAGGCAAACTGCACAGAATTTGCGCTGTTGACTTCTATTTGGAACCATATCTCTCAGCGTCTCTAACCAACGACAAACCTCATCCCTTGGACCCCAACCTCGAAGACGGACTGCACCAACGGAAACCGAAGTCGAAGTTAGTTAGCTTCTTGATGCGTCTGCGGCATGTCGTTGTCTGATCAACACGACGTTTCTTCTTGTCTTGTCCAGCACGTGCAAAGAGAGCACAGAAATGTGAACGATAAGCAGGCATAGGCAAAACGTGACAAATCCATCGGAGACCGTTTAGAGCGAATAATTCTCCTAGCGACCGACTATCCGCACCCAACACTCAACGACGAACCTTGTCACTGCTCACCCAAAATTCCCACCAGACATGGGAATTGCTTCAGAGACATTGGTGGTCGAATACAGAAATTCGATGATATCCTCAAGGCTGAGGAACCATGTCTCGCTACACTACAGACCGCGGCAATGTCCACCCTTTCCTTAAGGGACAGTCGGATATCATGGCGGTGACATAGGTGTTGAAGGTCAGCAAAAGCTTCTATAGCTTTCGCTATTCGTGTTATGATCTCCTCTTTGGATGTCATTCCTTTGACCGTCTAGGCAAGAAGTAGTTCCTGATTGGAATCGAGTCTTGTTGTTTGGCTGATGATTAATACTCATCTGTATCGAAACTCACGCATGGATGCTGCTCATGCCTTTGAACAACGTAGCATGCTGTGGTACTTAGCTTACAAGCTACCCCGGTGGATTCCATATCCCTCTGTAAGTTGGGTGGGCGATCAAAATGTGAAAATGATTAGAATCGCTCTCTGGGGGTGATAACTAGCGCAACTCCAATGAATGTCAATTGCCGGCTCAACCAGCTAGGTTGTACACGTTGTTGCTACCGCATAGACGCCTCATCTTTTAACACGAAATGGGGTCGCACTCGACGGTAGTCTATCTTTCGTATGTATAAAAAAGGTTTATCATGAATGGAATCTATGGTTCAGTCGCAAGCACCTCCAATTTTATTTTTTAAACTGACGTGATTATGAAAGGACATCAGATTTAATCATAATTGTCAATATCATGTTCACGAAAACAGTGATTTATTATTAACTTAAATGTTTCGATGATCCCTTGGAACAGCCAAGTTGAGATATCTGATTGCTCCACGTGAAAAGTAGCCTGGGTCTTATCTAGAGGCCAGAAGGACTTAACAACAAAGCCCTAAATCAGTGTTAGATTCCGATAGGTGTTCGCGAACTGACGAGGGTAAGGGAGTGGTTAGTAAGTCTAACCAGGCATGCCCAATAACACGCAGAAACTGGAATATACTAGTGCGTGAAAACTAGTAGTCATATTATCAAACCATTTGTTAACACAATCAAATAGGACTGGACACAGACTGGTTCGCTCACCTGTGCCTGTGATATTTATCATGATGGTTAGGCTGTTAATGGCTTTCAGCCGATCGATCGAGATAAAGCAACCTTCACCTCAATCACAAAATGACAGTGTATATTGTACTAGGTGGAACAGATAGATTGTTCTCTGTCTCTCGGGAATCTCCTTGGCCTATTTCCTTATTTTGTTGATAAATGATCTGGGTTGTCCAAGTGGGCAGGTAAGGCCTTGCTTCCCGGTGAAATGAACTATGGACAAACTAAGTTTCAGACTACAGGGCTCACGATGTAAAAGCGGTTAGCGGAATCGTTTTTGCTTTGACCAGTTTTAGTTAAAGTTGTCTGCTACACGAGTATCACGGTACCATCCAATGGACTGAGACTGTCATCGATAAAGCAGTGATAAATTATTTCAGCTTCAAGCTTCCACTTTTGATTTATTCATCCAGTCCGACCTCATTTGCTAAGCTTTTAACAATTATTTCCTGTTTTACCACTTCTGAAATTTAAAATGTGTTATCGATAGTAACTATCGATCAATCAAGTCACGCACCGTAAAAACAAAACTTTCATAAAAATATGAATGAGTTATCTGGTACAACTTATCGTTAGGAACCCACAATCATTCTGGATAGTCATTTAGTAGTCAATGAAGGTAGATTATGCATCCAAAGGCAATGTTTCTTTTATGTCTCATCATCCACCTCCTTGGACTGAACTATGGGGACGACGAATGTTTCTAAGCATAAATTTTTCAAAATAAATGTGAACAGTTCATGTTACAAACACGTGCCGTTGTGTTGTTTGCAATATCCACCATGTTGTGCCATGTAATTCCTGCCATTCGAATAAAAATTGTCCCAAAACGCATTGGATGCCCAAAGTTTCCGGTAAAACGCTATTTGTTTCTTGTTTCAATACTGTCACACAGTGAACGGCTTCGGTTGCCGGAGAGTGACCAAAGTCATCAGCCGGTCAGTACAGAGACGCGAAGTGAAAGTCCCTCGGCGACAGCAGCAGGTGGTGGCGGTGGTGGTGGTGGTGGTCTGTCGGAGATCACATGCAGCACGGAGTTGCAACAACGTTTGAACGAGGTAGAACAATTGTGTCAGGAAGTGATGGAAGAGAATGAACAACTGAAAGAGGAGGTGGAAGAAATGCAACGGGAAATTGAAGAGATGCATGATCACTTCCAGGTAGGTCTATTCACGTTTGTCCATGTTTATGCGCCATGCTGATTCAAGGTTTTGTAATCTCAGAATTGATGAATAACAATTAGACCAACCTATGTTTAACTGTTGGGTTAGTTTGATTAATGTGTGGAACAGCTGAGCGGTAGGGGACGCATGCAACACACTATTCATGCATTAGAACACCGCCAGGATCACTTTCAGTCCCCATTAATTTAATTTAATTTAATTTCCCGCATAATTGGAAGTGAAAGCATAATTTGTAGTAGTATTCACTGTGACGATTTGATGAATGATTATTTATGAGAAAAATCACTGTTAATATTACTTCTTTGCCATACAACAGGAAGACGATCGAGACACTATGCGCGAACTGCAGCGGGATCTGGAGGCAGCTAATAAAACGTGTCGCATTTTACAGTTCAAGCTACGCAAAGCCGAGCGACGGTTTGAACAATGTGAAGCAGAACGAGCCAATCTGGAAGAGCGTTTGGCTCGATTGGAGGCTGAACTGTACAGCGAAGCCGATGTGGCTCATATTCGTAATCTGGAGGTGGGTCATCAGACAAGACTGCTTTACGTGCCACTCCCAACCCCTTCCGGTCCGTACTTCTCTTCGTTCATTTTGCAAATTTACTTTTTCTTAGTCGACAAATCATTTATTTGATACGAAGACAATTGTATAATGGTTTCTTTGACTCTGTTTATACCCACCCTAGTACGAAATGCAACAGACTTGCATTATCCTACCTTAAAAGCAATCCGCCTTCCTGTTGACACTAAATTTCAGGAGGAAATTCGGGNCGGGTGGCGAAAGAAGTTGGCGTGCGCCTGAACAACGAATTGGACATACTGGATGAGAAACGCGCTTATTTCGAACAGGAGAATAGACAACTGAAAGAAGAGCTACAAAGCAGTCAGAATCGTCGAATTCAAGTGGAAAATGAATTGGGGCGCGTCAAACTAGAGGTAACTAATAACCATCAGAACATTTTTATTTCCAGTTATTTATTTCCAGAATGTTCATTGGTACAGCCAACTTCCAGTCACAGGGTAGCGCTAACCAATGGTTGTCTGTAGACAAGGATAAGTGTGATGAATGAGGATCAATGGCGGTGT